CTCTGTTCTCCAGTCTGCCCTTTTATCCGGTCTCTCCAGGCTAATTACTGCAATCAGACACAGGTGTTCATCATTTTGCACTTGACCTACTTACTCACCGCTCATCTCCCGTCCCTCTCTCCCGCTGCAGACTTCGCTGAACCACGCCCCCCTCGCCACACATATATTTACTGAGTTTAAATAACAGAATTCATACATTGATTAAGCACACCTGTTGACTTGATATCTGATAGTCACTTATCCCTCAAGATCACATATGATTGTGTATACAGATAATGACAGCACTGAGCTCTAGAGGCATTCTCATATTTTGTCCTCTGCATAAAAACTCACTGAAGGCGTTATTCATCTCCATCTTGTATATTGAATGGATGGATGGTGTGTAATTCAACACCTCAATAGCAAATCAATGAAGCGAGTAAACAAGGCTTGTGGTCGCATCCCCGCAAGTTTGATCATGGGCCATTGTTCTGGGCTGTCTTCACTTTATTGATTTTTTTATTAAAATGCAATCAGGCTTGTAAGCAGTATGTTGCGGTTTCTCGTCTCCTGTAGATCGCATCCGTCTTCTCTGTCATTCCTACAGGAAGTGGGCAGGCACACCTCTGGTGTGTGCGTGATATTTCCTCCCACTCTCGACATTTGTCTTTGCGGATGTCTTTATGAGGCCTCAAAGGTTCTCCTTTTGTTAGTAATGAGTCTAAATCCTGTAATTACTCTAGCTGCTATACACTGCTCCTCATGGCCCTAAAAAGTTACATGATTTGGACACTAGTCACGTCTGGCAAGTATTAATCCTTGCTCGCGCACACACACACACACACACACACACACAGGTTTGTTTTTGTGAAAAGTGGGGACATCCCATAGGCGTAATGGTTTGTAATACCTATGTCATACCTTTGTCATTATACAAATTTATGTCCTCATTTGTCACAAAAACACGCACACACACGCACACACACACACACACACACACACGGTTATGTTAAGTGTGCCCTTTAAAACAGGCCAGAGCTATTCTGTTCCTCTCTGTTGTGTGTAGGAGGAATTTCATTACCTCTTATCCAAAGCGAAGGAGTAAACATTCACTCCATGTACTTATTTAGCTTGCTGTGCGTTTGTGTTTGTGTGTGTATGTGTGTGTGTGTGTGTGTTTCCACAGAGGCATTCCAAATCAAGGCTGAAATGTCAGAGTGTTGAAACAGACGATGACAGGCAGCAGGAGCCATCAGGTGGACAGTTTAACAGGTGTGTTTGTCTGTATCTCCTCTTTTTTAATAATGGATGATGCAAATTTTCTGTTTTCAAGCATTTTTTTTTTTTACATTTCATTTTAGAATTTTTTAAATAGCTCATTTACAACATTTAAACTAACAAATTAACCAGTAATGATGGCAAATCTGATTTTTTCAGCAACCATTACTCCAGTCTTCAGTGTCACATGATCCTTCAGAAATCATTCTAATATTCTGATTTGGTGCTCAAGAAACATTTTCTGAAGTGAGACAAGCACTGAGTACTATATTAAAATATAGGCATCACTCAACCACTGCGATCCAGAGATCTGAATTAGTTCTTCTTCATTTCTATGGAGCTTATAATATGACAAAACTATTTGAATTTGTATTGTATAAATTTGAATTATTGACAAGTGGCATTTATCAAAACTGAATATTATGTGGCATTTAACATAGTTCTGAATTTTATTTTATTTTTTACTTGAATATTGAACATTTGAAATTTAACACAACTGATTTTTTTTATAGCAGAGTTTTATAGACATGTATTTTCAAACAGCAAATTTTTTGTTCTGAATTCTTTGACTACAAATATCCAGTTTTTAAAAATACAGCTTCAAGTTTTCAAGATGAAGAGGAAATTCGGAACATCAAATTCAATATTCTAAAATTCAATACGCAGAAATTCAGATCGTACAGAAAGTAGGTCAGCGGTAATCCACAAGGAAGAGCAGATGAATTCTGAAAAGTCAAACGAAGCATTTTGGCCAATTAGTACTTTTCTGGCATTCAGATCAGGTTGATCTACCTGATCATGAATCGCCCAGAGGTATCCTAAGTGATTGTTAAACATTTATGGTTTATATTTAGGCCTATATGTTAGGTTAGCATTCTCAGCATGTGAAACATTTATCTAAGCGGTCTCTGGTGTTTGTTTTAAAGTATATTTGGTGTGAAAGTGATTAGCATGCCACCGTGTCTACACATGACGCAAGCGAAAGCAAAAAAGACAGTAGGGCCCGTTGATAATAATCTGTGATATTTCCTACAATGTATGCGGCGCGGCGCAACACCATGTCTATACGGATGCAACTGCTTGAAGCGACAAAGCACCCATTGCAAAGAGCTTGGACTACGTCAGAAATAGAACGGGGAATCCGTTTGCTGTTGGGAATTTCGCATTCAGTGTAGACAGTATTGATTATAATAAGGTTCTGCTGTCTTTTGTTGCAACGCATCTCACTGCTCGCGTCCGGTCTAGACACGGTGTTAGCGTCATACATAACTGTTTTGGAGCAGCTGAAGCCATTTCTCATCGAGCTGTGTGAAATACAGACTGAACAGCGACTCAAAACACCCGACCGCTGCATGAGCATATAATATGCAAACTACAGCTCTCTGCTTTATATAAAGCAAGCCAGGGTCGTGTCGCTCTAGTAAAGTTTTGATGGATGATGGTTGTAGTCAAAGTAAAGACTATTATAGTGACATACAGGAGTCATTCATTAGGTGTGCATGTGTCCGTTATTATTATTGATGCACAAACAAACCATGTAGCCTATGTGTGCTCATGGCGCACAGATCACTATAACATCATATACTGCTTGAACACAGTTCTTTATATTCATGAAGTAGTCCCTATTAATGTACAGCAAATTTTTATATAACGGATGCTCGCTGAAGAAGCATGTTTTGAAGAAATATCTGAGGATCAGTAGTGTTTATGTACATATGGGCATCAAACGCTTCAAATTCACTTATTCTGACAGAGGAACTATTCAATGATCACACCGACCCTCCTTACGATCGCCAAGTCTCCACACATTCAGAATGGTTTCATTTTTCATTTGTATTTTGGTGTGATTAGTTATGCTGCATGGATCCGTGAATGCATTCCTTTGGCGTCTCCCTGTGGTCTTGTTTGGTATGGCAGGTTGACTTGTGCTTATTTGTTAAAGTTACTGTATAATTGAGGTTTATGTACTTTTAAGTTGTAAAGAATGTCTGCAGTATAATTTTTGCTAAGTATGTATTGATTTTGGAGAGGATGGGGGCCTTGGAGTAAAAAAGGTT